AACCCGCTGGAAGTTGTCACGGCATGATTCCAAACGTCTTCCTAGTTTGTACCGTAATTGTGAATAGAGCCTATTTACACACAAGAAACACATTTTTTCCCAATATTTTAAACATTGTTTTAACTAAATAAAGGTGTTTCCTTAAATTTGTATTAACTAAATAGTCATTTTTGTGCTGTTTGACTCAGTGTATTACATCGTTGCTTGGTAAAAGTAATGAAATTCCCTACTGCGATGTTATGATTTCCAACCAAATTTGAAACCTAGAAAAAAAAATGTGTTTTTTTTTTTTGTAAAATCTTAAATATAATGATCTTAATTGTGTTTTAATAAAAAGAGTTGTCCAAATTGTTATAGACACCTTAATTGCAATTTTTTAAAATGTTACTGGCATTGCTGTTTCTATAACAAAATGAAAATCTCAACTAAATATTCACAACTATTGGCTACGCCCCTGATCATTTCTGCAGTGAGACGCTGCTCCAGTGATCCATGAGGAAGCCTTAGCTGACCTCTCCTTAACCAACAACAAATCGACACTTCCTTATCCCCCTCATGTGACTATTTTGCATCGACCGTTCACCAACTTACCTCAATTCAACCATCGTAATGTTATTGTCAAGGCAAGGAGTTTTTATTTATGCCATCTTAAGTTAAAATGTGAACTTTTTGGATATTTTCCGTAACTATTTGTCTAGAACAGGCGTGTTAAAACTTTTTTAATCAAGGGCCACTCTCAAAATAGATCATTTTCAAATCCGAGATAAATTCTTTCTCCATGTGAATCTTTTTTTTCCTAGGTGGACATACACTCTGTTAGATTCTGAATCCAATTGAATGGACTTAAAAGCCTTAGTAGTTTTTATCCAAATGAACAGACTAAAATAAATGCCTTTTCATGTTGATTCTTTTCATTTTTCTGAAAAATGTGGCATGTGGCCTCCATCTCCACAAACTTCACTCTTACTCTATGTTCAGACTGCAGGGCTTAATGCTCAATTCGAATTTTTTGGTGAAATCAAATTTTTTTGCGAGGTTGTTCACATTTCCATTTAAACGTGACTTGTATGTGATCTCCAGTGTGAACTTTAAACGACCCAAAAACGTCCCACATGTGCACTGGAGGACACGACGACGTCACACACAGAGGGCGTGTTCAGTGTTTATGGAAGTCGCCTAAACACGGACCTGGAGATTTTAAAGTTGTCGTCGTACCAGAGCCAAAACATGCACAGCTTATTTGTTTTAAGAAGGAGATTAAGAAGGAGAAGGACGAGGTTTTTGGTCACGGCATTTTGTGGGGCAGTGGCAGCAACGTCCGTAGAAAAGGAACGTGTGGGTGCGGAGTCTTGGCCGAGAGTGGTGGGATTGTTATGTGCTTCTCTGCTTCACTGACACGGAGTTTATACACAATTTTCATATGACGAGAAGAACGTTTGTGTACTTTTGTGACGTATAGGTGGGATGAATGCGACCTGGCCGTTCAGACTGAAGTCGCATGTCAAAAGATCGGATATGTAGCGGTTTTAGGACCACATATCAAAGTGACCTGGGTCGTATTTGAAAAAAATCAGATCTACGTCATTAAAAGATCAGATACAGATTGCATTCGGCGAAAAAAATCTGATTTGGGTTACTTGGCCTGGAAGTAGGGCCTCCTTCTGCTTGTTTCCATGAAAATATTGTTCCCTTTGCTTTAATCGTCCACAGTTCAGCATTAAACGCATCTATCTCCAGGGAGCGTGTTTTCACTTTGTATTTCCATGGAACTGCAGAGGTACCGTGCCCCATCGAGAAAGTTACATGATTGTCTCTTAACCAAACCAGCAATTACAAAAGCTCTTAAGTGTGGTGATTTCATGTGGTGTTATGTTAAAGTGAATTTCTATAATCACATCCCCAACTGTTAGTCATTTTGTCGTAACATAAATGACAAGGTAAGAGTAGTAAGAGTAATAGTTTTTGTTTCTGTAATCAGTAACCATGGCAGCGTCTATAAAAGCAGGCAGTAGTTAGCGTGTATGACAAAGCGCTGATAGGCCGGTATTGTAGAGTCGGGGCACACAGTAGCGTCTTTCATCGCGGGAGGCTAATGGGCAGGTACACGGCGACGCTCGCTTCCTGTTAAATCATCAAACAGGGGGGAGACGGGCCTGTTCTGACAAGGAGACGCTGCGCTTCCTCGAAACAGACACCCCCCCCATGCTTTTGAAACACACACACGTACACACACGGACACATAAAGAAGCAGGTAAACAGCCCCAGGACCCGAAATGAATGAGTGCGGTTTGACCCCTGACCTCTGGCTGCTTGCTCGCCGGTGTCGTCCACAGAGGAGGGTGGTTCTCAGTTACATTTAGTTGAGTTAAGGCCGCCACACACTGCAGGAGAATTTGCCCGATTTACACTGCGATTTACCGAGTCGTAATCCGACTTTGTGTCTTCGTGTGCGATTTTGAAGCCGCTGTGCTCCTGCGGTGTCAGTGTGACTCTGCGCTTTTCTGTCAGATCGTAAACGGTAACAGCCAATAAATCAGTGCATCAGGGGCAAACAAAATCACAGAGACACAGAGTACAACCTTTATTCTGACAGACCCCCACCCTGATAATCCGTCATTCCAACAACCCTCCATTGCGACATGCCCCAATTCCGACACCTTTTATGTCGCAATTTTGATTCATACTTTGGAGCGTCACCTTTTTTTTGCCTTGTATACGCCGTGTGGACCACGCCTCCTCCTGTGCGCCGCGTGGGTCATGTCTTCTTGCGTATGCCGCCTCTAGACCAGAACTAAACCAGAACTAAAACCAAGACTAAACCAGGATTAAGTCAGGACTAAAACCAGGTCTAAATCAGGACTAAACCAGGACTAAAACAGGACTAAAACCAGGACTAAAGGACTAACCAGGACTAAAAAACCAGGACTAAACAGGACTAAACAGGACAGGACTAAAAAAGTCAGGACTAAAAAGGTCTAAACAGGACTAAACCAGGACTAAAACCAGGTCTAAACCAGGTCTAAACCAGGTCTAAACCAGGACTAAACCAGGTCTAAACCAAGACTAAACCAGGATTAAGTCAGGACTAAAAACAGGTCTAAATCAGGACTAAACCAGGACTAAAACCAGGTCTAAACCAGGTCTAAACCAGGTCTAAACTAAACCAGGACTAAAATCAGGACTAAAACCAGGTCTAACCCAAGACTAAACCAGGACTAAAGTCAGGACTAAAACCAGGTCTAAATCAGGACTAAAACCAGGTCTAAACCAGGTCTAAACCAGGACTAAACCAGAACTAAAACCAAGACTAAACCAGGATTAAGTCAGGACTAAAACCAGGTCTAAATCAGGACTAAACCAGGACTAAAACCAGGTCTAAACCAGGTCTAAACCAGGACTAAACCAGGACTAAAATCAGGACTAAAACCAGGTCTAACACCAGGTCTAACCCAAGACTAAACCAGGACTAAAGTCAGGACTAAAACCAGGTCTACTAAACCAGGTCTAAACCAGGTCTAAGAACTAAAACCAGACTAAACAGGACTAAACCAGGTCTACTAAACCAGGACTAAAACCAGGTCTAAACCAGGACTAAACCAGGACTAAAATCAGGACTAAAACCAGGTCTAAACCAGGACTAAACTCAGGACTAAAACCAGGTCTGAACCAGGACTAAGCAAATTTACCTACGGGTACGAATAAAGCAACCTAACCTAACCTAAAGTCAGGACTAAACCAAGACTAAAAACAGGACAAAACCAGAACTAAAACGAGGTCTAAACCAGGACTAAACCAGGTCTAAATTTTAGACTAAAACCAGGTCTAAACCAGACTAAACCAGGTCAGGAACTAAAACCAGGTCTAAACCAGGGACTAAACCAGGACTAAAGTCCTAGGACTAAACGGGACTAAACCAGGACTAAACCATGCCGCGCCTCCTCCCATACACCATGCACACTGCACCAGTCCATGAAAATATTGTCCTGAAAAGAACGCTGCTCTAACTTAATAATTACTTTGTGTGTCGGAATGGCAGAATGTTGAAAAAAAAAAAAAGCGAAAGTGCCACCACTCTGACCAAGGGAAAAAAAATGTCGGAGCGCAGGGACGTTTGTTAAAAATGGAAATGCCGTCACTCTGACAATTTGACGTCAATGTCAGAGTGGCAGCGTGTAATCGGAGACACACAGGCGCAAGATACAAACTCATTATAGTGAAAATAATTATTACTCACCTCTTTTAAAGTTATAAAGTTAAACTGCAGCATTTTCATTCACATTATCCATAGAAATTGGCCTCTGGAAATAAAGACACCCAGTCCACAAAACAGCGCTATTAATTCAGTTTGAAGTGTTCTTTAAAAGTAAAAAGACGAGAGTACTTGTGGATGTCTTTTTACATCCACTGCAGTCTTTGTGATCAGAGATTTAAAATCTCATGAGATTCTCCTCGAGTCTGTGGTGTGCACTTTTTGTCGCATGTTAAAAAATCGTTTAAGACCAAAAAATCCTGTCGTGTGTGGCAGGCCTTAACTTGCTTGTACTTGTACTTTAGAGACATACTTTTACTCCTACTTAAGTAACATTTTGACTGAAGAAGCTGTGCTCTTTCTTGAGTAGCCTAAAAGTTTTGGTTACTCTTCCCACTGTGAGTAAGTCTACAAGTGATAAAAACTCTATGTTGACAGTATGAAATGATTTGAACATTTGAACGCTCCTTCAGATATAATAGTTTTTCTCATTTTTATGTCTATCCTTTGAAAATACCAGCTTTTGTGCATCATTTAACACTTTGTCCTTCAAATTACATTAACTTCAAATTATAGATCAGATGCTATTTTTTACTCTGCTTAAATAATTTCTTAGACAACTGCTTTGTACTTCTACATGAGTAATATTTGTTTGAAGTAACATTATTTTTACTAGTTTCTGGCTTCTCTACCCAACTGTGTTTTTGAACACACACTGACCTTTTTTGTGTTCTGTTTTGTGTTTGTGCAGATCTGAATGAGTGCGGGCTGAAGCCGAGGCCTTGTAAACACAGATGTATGAACACGTACGGGAGCTACAAATGCTACTGCCTCAACGGATACATGCTGATGCCCGACGGGAGCTGTGGAAGTGAGTCTCACGCTCTTTTTCCCCCCTTGCTGTTTTATTTTTGTTTTTTGTTATGTAGTCAAAGTACGACTATACAATCAAGTAGGCTAGACCTTTTCAGTAAAGACAAATATGCCACCAAACTTGATTGTGGAGAATGCACTGACCTTAGCATTAGCAAAACAATGAGCTACAAAACAAAACAAAACAAATAGCAGCACAAAATCTGCAAAAAACTCAGAGCTTGCAAATCATCCAGCCTTCAGCTCTTTTTCATAAGGTTAAAGATGTAGGGTAAGAGGTACACCTAGTTGATTAAAAACCTAGACTCTGAATCCATGTGAATGGACTTTAAAGCCACATTATGTCACTTTCAAATGCTGTTAAACTGGAAGAAAAGAGTGAGGGGGGTATAAGAAACAGTGTAACTGGTCATGCATTATCTTTCTGTGGAGGCTCCCTGTGACTTGGAAATAAATAATGAGTATTTAATTACAATGTATTTTTGTTTTAGTTTGTTTTTAAACATAATTCTAAATTTGTAGATAATGGTAATCTTGTAACATTAAAATAAAAAGTTTTTAATATTTTTCTCCCAAAGCCGCTGATGTGCGACACCCGGCACAGATCTGGCAACCCGGATTTACCAGGTCCTACATCAACAGCATGTTTTTTATTGAGCTTTTCGACCCATGGTCGGTAAATGATGGATAAATCCAAGAAAAGAAAAGTTTCTGAAGAAAACAAAACCTTTAATGCTTCGTGGGCAGATTCATTTGCCTTCACGGCTGATGAGACTGAGGCACGTGGAGCTACATGAGATAAAATAATGCTGGAACACAAAAGCAGACGGTGTTTTTGGTTCACAGCGGGTGGATAATTTAAGTTTGGATTTTTATTTCCTATGAGGAGGACTCAAATAGACATTGAGTAATAATGTGTTCAATGCAGTTTTGCACACATTTGTTTACGTTTTACAGAAACAAAATTTAAATCCACATGGCTCATTTACATAAACTTTAAGCTCTCTTTGTGTCGCTGATGCCGTCCAGCTTTTATTGGACTAAAGGACAGGAATCAGTGGAACGTGTGTTCTCTCTGTGACAAAGGATGTGCTGATGATGGTGAGTCTGTTCTGCGCTTCTATCATGTTAAATTTTTCAGACATTGTAAATCTGCAGATCATACGCATAGACCGTATATATGAATGGACATATATTCTCTGTAGCATTTCATTGATTTCATGAATGCAGCACAACATAGTCTTTTATACAGAGCACACACATAAAAAAAAATGCAGTGTTATCCTCATTTTAGATGTCAAAAGGGTTTTGTGGCTCCAGGTGTAATTCTTTTCTGTGGGAAATGCTCCAAATGGCTCCTTGAGTATTTAAGGTTGCCGACCCTTGAACAGGGATACACATTTCAAACCAGTATTTCCTCTGGAAGGTCTGGAAGGTCCACATTTGCTGCCACATATCGTGTACAAAGCCTTTAGCATCTCAAATGTCCATAGCTAGCTCCGTTAGACGGCCTCTGTCACAGTCTCCGTGGATATGGGAAAAACAAACTGCTCATTTCACACAATTCAACAGTTCCTTACTTGTGTCCTTTGAACTGCACATGCTGCACTTCTTAGTTGATTAAATCCCATGATGTGTTGTTAAAAACTGAGCTCAAAACAAAAAAAAATCAAAAACTGCTGAGTGTGAGAGCCAGGTTTTTTTTTTAACCTAGTTTGCACCATAAAATGACGAAGAACAGTCGATAATGCTGTTAAACACCATTTATGCAGTTAAATTGTGATAAAAGGGGATAGTGTTTAGTTTTATTTTTCAGTTCCACTTGAAGATCTCATTTTGTAGTCGCAGCACAACAGTCCAAAATAAGCAGCTTCTCGTGAATACAAAGTTGTGCCAATACAGCCTTGTACAAAAGCTTTTAATCCCTCAAACATCAATACACACACACATAAATACATACAGTAAAATAAATAATTAAAATTGCATACACTTTAATTAGGTGCATTTATTAACAGAGAGCACAAAGAACAGAAATGAATACATCTCCGCCATACAATCTGTTTTGAATAATCCCAAGCAAGCCTCTCTGTTTGAGTGCGTTCATTTCCCTAGCACAGCGCGTGGTGGTTCATATAGAGCACATATATGAAAAGCCCGGTGACAGAGCGGTGATCGACTGTTTTGATGAAAGCCTGCGTTCATACACCTCATTGTAACACGCCTGCAGTTCTAAAGCCCCCCACGTTGCACCCCGAGAAACCTAAAATGAAAAATGTGAAAGAAAGACCATCTCCGCACACTCACTGCATGGCCACTTCTTATTAGCTGCCCCGAGGTACCGAACTAGAGCTGATGTCTGCACTCGTCACCACATGAGAGCGTTTTCTCCCAGTGTTATTGTCTATGGAAGGCTGACAGTTTGTGTGTTCTGACGATTTATGTTGCTGTAAGAAAAACACAGTGCTGAAAATGAACTGAAGAAAAGCACATTGAGGTATTTTGTGGTTTGTAATAAGAGGCAAAATTAAGACATGATTGCTGTGTGAATCTAATATTTGTGAACATATTAAATACTCAAATGGTAAAGATAGTTTTGATGTCGGCCTTGGTGCCAAAAATGTAAATGTAAATAAGACAAAAACATAGACTATATAAAAAAGTGGACTAATGCCGGACACACACTGCGATATTTTCGATCGTTTCACTCATTCCTGTACGACCAAATCGCAGGGTTTAAAAGTTCACAGCTCATGATTCATGTTTTCACACTGTACAAACCACTTCAACAGTGCGAAACCCTCACGAGAGGAGACTGGATTTCAAACAGGTTTGATATTCTTGCGACGTACGATTGCCGATTGGGAATTAGTCATGAGGTTTTAATCATTTCTCGTTACCCCATGTTTAGAACACGAAGCACGACACACGATTAAGCCAAAACTCAGCCCGATCCCAAAAACAGTGGCATGAGTGAAAAATCGTCTCAAAAAGAGCTAAAAATCACCCAGGTTAAGTGAGTGTGACGTTACCCATAGCATTCAGCTCCAATCAAATGAAGCTCAGACCACGTTTATATGATGTTCTTTTAATTTCAAATTAATTATTCTGAATTAAATAGTTTGGAATTAAAATATTCTCCTTTGAGTTTACATGGAAATAATTATTCCAAATTGAGGTTTACATGGAAAACACGTTAAATCTCCTTTATTTAATTCTGCTAAATGTCTGGGGGTGGGGACGGGTTCTGATTGGACAGGGACATGAACGTATTTACGTCGACTGGAAGAAAAAACACACTTCAGCTTCTACTGGCTTTTTTGTCATCTCAGTTTACCATTACGCCACGGACACAAACATGATACAAACTTTTTCCTCTGTCGTTCCGATGATAATGAAGCAGCAGCTGGAGAATTTTATCGTCATGCTTTACGTTTGTCAGCTGAGGAGGAGAAGGGAGGAAGAAGACAAACCCAGTAAACAGATGCTCTACCTCAGCCCACTCCCGCATCCTGCTCGCAAATCCAAAGAGCAGTGGATGAAAGTCTGAAGCCAGGACTGATGGAGCCGGATCGTGTCAGACGCAACGACCGTAACTATTTTTACGAAGAATAAACGTTTACCTGATCAAGGAATAAATTAATTCGGCTTTAAAATCAAAATAAACCACCCACTTTCTAATAATCATTTTCATTAGGAATTAAGTGTTTACATGGTCTTTTTAAAGCGGAATTATTTTTATTATTATTTTTTTCCGATTTAAAGCTCTCATGTAAACGCTCCAATTTTGGAGCGGAGTACCACATTTGGAGTTCTGACCACGAGTATCATAGCAACCAAAGAGCCAATCCTGAGCAAGACTATTGAAGGTAACGTCCTTTCCCGTCCGCACTGCTGATTGCAATCAAACCTGTTGCTAACTTTAGCGGGAGTGCCGTCTGGGAAAGAAGGCGCCTGTTGTGTCTGTTATTAATGTTCAATATAGCGAACTAAAAATACCAGGATCATGTAGAGCTGGTTAAAATGAACGTTTTAAACTTGAGACGTGATGTTTTTTGTATATAAAGTGAACTGGAGCCGGAAATGCGCCCATGTCACTTTCTATTTGGAATGTGGCGGCTTGCAGGTTTGCTATGTCCATTTATTTATACAATCTATGGACAGAATAAAACAAGATCATCAGTACACTTTTTTGTCACTGGGCCCGGTCAAGCAGAAGTAAACAGCAAGGCCAAAAATGAAAGTTTATGCATCTGATATAAAAATGTATTCAACAAATAGCATATGTACTCTAGTTTATGAAACTGTTTACCTTTTTTCTGTACCATTTTTGGTTCTAAAGTTACATACGTTTTAAACAGACCATGTATGAACATGGAACAAAAATTATTTCCCAAATTTCAAAGACCTGCAAATCATGTAAATAAATGGATGTATTTCATCATATCTTGTGTTATTCCATCTTTGAACTGTTGATGAAGGTACATGATTTTTCTGAAAAAAATTATTTAAAATGATAAAAATTTGCTTGGAAGGACTGACATATTTTATAGAAATAGTTTCCTTTCATTTTGAAGTAATATTAAAGTATTCGGAAGAAAAAAGTTGACAAATTATGCAAAATCATGCACCTTCTACTTGTTTGCACAATTTTCCCTCTGTTACTTTTCCCTCCGTTACCATGACCTTTCTTAATAAAAAATCTCATGACTCAAAAAGTAAGAGGTTTTTCAACCTAATCTTGTACCATATGGTAGAAAACTATATGAAGTAAATATTCAAACCAGTTTGTTAAGGATATGTAAGTGAGAACCAAGAGTTATCACTGTTTGGATTTATTGCCCAAAAAGTGCTGCATATTTAATTCCCTCCGTTACGACATAATAAAAAAAAAAATTTTTTGTCAACAACTTGAAAGAATATCACAGGTTTAACTTTATCCTGTTGGAGTGTAACTCTTTCCTACATTCTGATACTTTACTTATTTCAATAGTCCCTCTA